GCCTGGTCATCGCTATGGTAAGTGGGAACTTTTCCAGGTACTGATACACATAATAGGTCATTATAGTAAATATGATATGATTTGTCTTATCTGTATGTTGCTAAATTATTTAGATGTATGTCCAGCATTCTAGGCGTGGCCCGTCGACTTTAACACATCGATACATACGTAATGCCCTGAAATGACGGAGATCTATAGGATAGCAGTTTGGTCTAACATATGCCAAACGAACACAACGAACGTCGTGTGATACGTACAGTCTAGAAGAAGGGGTAGGTGTTTACTGAGGCAAAGTGGATGCAGTTGAATAATCTTGAATATGAAACTCAAGGTAATCTAGTAAAGAAGAACGAATCTATTTTATTCTTTCGGAAGGGTTCGAACTGAAGACCAACACGATGGCGGAGCAGTGCTCATGCTACCACCTGAGGCATTTTCTGGCTGGATTTCCACACCACTCTTACAACATAAGGGATGAAATACCTCAGGTGGTATCGCTGATGTCATGGGTTCGAATCTCCTTGAAACTTGAACTATTTTGAGTTGTTCAGACTATATACAATTCTTCGAACTGTAACGATCATGTGTTAGCATAAATCCTATCACAATAACATTTCCCTATCATTTTTTCATCTGAACGCCACTCGACCTCACCATCAGGTTGAGGTGCTGTGTGTATCGTGTTACAATTATATGTTAGTCAAGTGTTGTGCACGAGTTCGTTTTGATATCAAGGCGATCGTGCGTTCCATTGCCTGATGTTCTAGATTGATAATACAAAATCAAGAGAGTTTCTAGGGTTATTCCATTCATTTATCTTACATGTCACCGTGATTCCCTTTAATTTACCCGCGTATTGCCGCCATTTGTGAAGTAAACAGCACGTGCTAAGTGGCACACTCTCAATCAAAAGCAAGCAATACCTTGTTAATATTGGGTTAGGCTCACAAAAAAGTCAAGCATGAACGTCTAACGAATGTCACCTCAATTTGTGCGGCCTTGTGGATTACAGAAAAAGAGGACATTGTAGAAACATTTTCTTGAAGGTCACTCCAAACCTCCTTAAACAAAATAATCGGATTATTCAACAAACGATAAATGAGCTCAAAGCAGATCTGTTTTGAGTTGATTTTTTTTCATCTACATCGACGTTTCTAGAAATGGGTTCACTTCTACAGACATGAAATACTTAACAAACGGGTGCTAGACTTCTGTTGCAATTTAACGTCATTTATAAATGTCACGTGATCCAGTTAAACAAGACATATGCACCGTTATCAACTTAAGTTTCGAGTATCATTTAATTTAATTTTNTTTAATTTTAATTAACATATTAATGTATGAGGTATGGCAAAGATATATTTTCTCAACGCCGCTTATTTCCTTAGTTCGAGAGGTAGATTTTAAAACCTTCTATTTCAGATTACTAGAAAGAATTTTTTGCAGTCAAGCCGGGTCATTCTTGATAGGTGACAAGGGTTTGAGAAAAAATGTGACGCACAAGATTAGCGCGCCKAACTGTACGAATCGGTAATAATACTGAACTACTATAAAATGCTGAATTAAATGTAGCCAAACACATAGAATMGACGATTTAGTGCCTCAACGCGATAGATTTCCATCAAGTCTGGCTTTAGACACCATACCTGAAGCAGGGTTAAAAATKCTACACATGCTTTAAAACCAATTGCGGACATCATTGGCTCAAAAGTATAATGCTTCGTATCTGCACGCTTTTTATGGACGGTGACTGAGKGTTATGTAAGAGTGTAACGATGGATTCCCGAGAATGAGACGAAAAAAAAACCGCTGTGATTTCTTAGAATCTTACGTTTATAGAAATGATCAGCATGTTAGCATTCAAATGTTATTCTTACCGTTGAGTAGTTTATTCTATGCAATACGTTGGTTTGTTATGCAGCCACTAGTACGATCTGTAAGTAACACCTGGATGTTTAGTCCAATCTACCTTCATTCCGGTCCAACTAAAGTCCTTAAATGGTCTATTTACTGATGCGCTTTGATTAACTGAAAATGAATTAATCCGGATGAATGTGCTTTGATATACTGCCCGRAAATCACGCATTACTGAAGACCTGATCAATATCTCTCATAAGAACCACTTGAACTTCTTTAGACGAGCCAAGGAGACTTCAAGGGTGGGAAAGCTGTACGCATGGACGGGTACCCATAGAAGATTAAGAAGATCATACTCTACACGACTGGAAGGGAATAGGCAAGGGGGATGGAGAAGGGGGAGGGGGGTATCGTTGCTCATATTGCCTCCCTGTCTTTTGTGGTTATAGGTTGAGAAAAATCCTAAAAAACTTAAGGTCAAGTCCAGGTATTCGATATAAAGGATGGAAGATCTACAGTTGTAGGTCCTGTGCGTCTTTCCTATTTATGACGTTACCATGACAATGTATTACGTGGCTTCCTATTTAAGGACTAAAATAGACTATCACACCTAAGAAATAGGTCAGGTACTTAAAACAAGTTCCTAGTAAACATATCGAAACATGAACTTTGATAGAATACAGACAATTCAATCAACAAAGAAATCCGCCTTCTTGAATTTTMGAGAACTGTTGATTTGTTTATAGTTATAAGCAGACCTCATGCCCAGGCCACTCTCTTCGCTACAGGGTATGACGTCACATTCCTTCAAAGGCATACCTCTGAATCTTTTACGTCACTACTTTATTTTTAATGCATTGTGCCGATCACTTTTTAGTAGAAAATAAAAGAAATTCGCCATGTTTTGTCCCATACATATCCTACAATGCATTGCAGTATACGGTACATGACGTAAAAGCTTCAGAGGTCTATTGCAAGTACAATCCATCGAATTCCTAGTGGACTAGTTTTAAGTAGGATCAAGCCGATAGTGTATTAGTCTTATTATTAGTTTATTACTTCATTGGATGAAAATTCATATATATTCGGTTTGACGTATAAAAATATATTGAAAATCTTTGCTTTCCTTACTTTCAGCGAAAATATTTTTCATATTACCACTATCGAAGAGTTTACAGAAGATGGCTACTATTATAGCGGCAAATATTGACGAAATGAGATCTATCTGAGATAGCTCTCCGACTCTAATAATAGATTTAAATCCATAATTAATCTTCGGATTATGCAGTGAGCACTGGTGGAAACTAGCGGTAAACTAGCGTGAGCTGCGTCGGAGTTTCTAAAAGAAACAGTTGTGTAAAAAAGTAGGTTTACCGAGATAGCTCTTTGAGCCTAATAATAGATCTAAATCCACAAAATCTGTAGATTATGCAGTGAGAGCACTGGTGGGAACTAGCGGTAAACTAGTGTGAGTTGCGTCGGTGTTTCTAAAGAAACAGTTGTGTAAAAAGATTTAAATTTAACACCGTAAAAAAGTAGGTGAAACAACTTACTGACGTTCCGGACGTTAATCCTTTGTCGGAGTAAAGAGAAGTGAGAACATTGGACTAATACACCTCAGTAGGGCGTCGTCTATTTCGAAGTACAAAGTCAGAGATTTACCCCGAGACACAGGGAGGCAGCTTGCCAGAAATATGAAATTTACAACCGCAAAATGAATTACTTTGCGTCCATACTAGAAAAGTTTAATAAACCTTGACTATTAGGACTTTTTAAATGACTTTAATGCCCTCAGTCCACTGATCTGGCTTAATAGTGTTACAGTAATACTTACAAATCTCTGGATTAAGTATTGATCTGGTTTCATAATTAACAGATGTCCAGTAAGCTTTGTTAATCCATGGATTTGTAATCAATCTAGTTTTTTACATCATCACGAATCATTGCGTGAGAGAGACGGAAAGTGTTTACCGTTACATCCTGTTTGTATTTCCTGTAAGGACTACTAA